TGTGTAAAGGAAAAGTAAATACAATATTTTCGTACTCATATGAAGTGAAGACATAGAAACGCTCTTTCGCTCCAACCTTCATGGAGAACAGATCAGATCAGAACACGCAGGCTGTGAGATTGTCCAGAGCAGAGTAAAATGTGTTGGGGTTTGCAAATGAGGTGAAAAATGGTGTATAAGGATATAATTACATAAATACCCTTGATCAAATAATACACTTGTTGCAGTTGCTATGTCTGTGTGTAGACAAACAATACGCACATGTACACAGTTGCATAGGAACTTGTAGAAGTCCTCAGGCGGCGAGGTCAGACGTCGAGAGCCACTGGCGAGCGGGAGGGCGCAGCGCAATGAGTTCAAGGCCTCCTTCGCCCTCAGCGTCATCGGACAACCGAGAAGTCCCTTTAAAGCAGTGGTTCTTTGCCCTTATTTGGTTGCGACCCAAAATCCTGTTCAGATTGGCCCTGGCAGCCCAAATACTTTCACATTTCAAATTCATTTGCTTAGATGTTAATAACTTTGGTATTCTTAATCAGCATTAATACTTTGGTAACTAAGGCGAAGCCCCACTACCTTAGAGGCTCCAGTTGGCGTCTGGTTTGCCTGTCTTTGGGAGTGGATAAGGAAACAAGTTGTAACATGCCAATGATATTTTATTTTGATTATTATTAGATATACTACTCGGACGTATATAATTTTGTTATATGTTTGAAAAAATATAATACAGCGTTGGCACTACACAATACTTGGATACAGAGACAATGCATAGATGCGCACACGTATGCAGTGCTGGGTATTGAGGGGGGCACCGGGCCGCGAGGCCTTGGTGCTTGGCACTTACATATATAAATATATGTGCACACAAATATATATATATATATATATATATATATATATATATATATATATGGTGTGTGCGGTTTCTCCCTCCCCGAGGCGCCTGGCGACGCCGTCTGTTGTCGGCGCAGGAGATCCCGGAGGCGAACCAACGAAATGGAAATGAAGCGAAACGCAGCGATACAAAATGGGTCTTGTGTGATTTGCAGAATAAAACATTAATAAATAAAACAGATGGTCGCTGAAAAACAGATCAGAAATATATTGGGATGAAATGGGGATCGAATGCTAGAAATGCCATTGGCGCGCAGGGAGGGAGACGCGAGGAGCTCTCGAGACACTCAGTCCCGGATCCCTGGCGGAGGCGAAGGAAGGAGCGGTTTCTGATACGTGGGGGGGGGGGGTCTGAGGTTGTCTGGTTGGGGCAATTTGCACGAATCAATTGGATTATAAGAGATGTGAATGATGGTACGAAGTGCTGCATATGGAGGAGAGAGAGAGAGAGAGAGAGAGAGAGAGAGAGAGAGAGAGAGAGAGAGAGAGAGAGAGAGAGAGAGAGAGAGAGAGAGAGAGAGAGGGAGGAGGAGGATAGTTCAGACACGATGAAATAAAAATCGAACATATCAAAAACTAATCAAAATCAGGAATGCACAGTTGATCACTACGCCTCGCCATCTGCAACCCCAAAAGAGGGGAGTAGAGTAATAACCTTATTTTCTCTAAACCTTCAGGAGAGAGTAAAAAGGTGATAACCCTGTCCTTTCTGGGCCTTCAGGAGAAAGGAGAAAAGGTGACAACCCCGTTCTCTCTGGGCCTTCAGGAGAGAGGAGAAAGGGCGATATCCCTGTCCTCTCTGAACCTTCAGGAGAAGAAGAAAAGGTGAAAACCCTGTTTTTTCTGTGACCTCAGCGAGAGCAAAAAAGGTGACGACCCAGCTCTCCTTGATCAAAAACAGAATAGGCAACGTGCGTCCTCAACCGACAGTAGAAAACTCTACCTGAGTCAGACGTAAAGAATATACATATTCATATCCTACAAAAATAAATCTCTTTTTAGTGAAAAAGCATTACCTACAGAAATGCTTTAGTCAAAGGCTTTAAAAACACATACGTCATCCTGAACTTTAAAGTATATGATTATGGTAATATAACACTTAAGATCAAAATCGATCGTAGTCATTTTAGGTTAGTCAGCCTAATCAGGGTCGGATTGAATCGCAAATAAAAATGTCTCGCGCTTCAGCCTTTTTTTTCTCCCACTGACCGCGAAGAAATGAATCAATCGATAAAATCAGAGAATCGGGAAACGAAAGAATCTGAGCGCAGACACAGCTTGGACCAGAGCCAAGGGCAGAGGAGGGGAATAAAGAGGGAGGGAGAAAGAGATGGATATATATACATACATACATACATATATATATATATATATATATATATATATATATATATATATATATATATATATATATATATATATATATATATATATATATATGTATATATATAGATGGAGAGAGAAAAAAAGGAATATGAGAAATATATAACAATATGACTTAACAATCTTCTATATATATACGTCTCCACACGGACAACGGTCTGGAAAGTGTTGTTCAGTGTAGAAGTATCTCGAAAGACTCTGGCTGGAATGGGTGGTGGTCGGGCGAGCGGGTGAAGCTGGTTCTGAAGGATGGAAGTAGCTCTTCGCGGATGAAGCTGAAGGACGCTGGTCTTAGGCAGACGCAGCTGGGTGGACAGGCTCGAACTGGTTGCAGCCGCAGGAAACTGGTTCGAGGCGGATGCAACTGGCTGAAACTAGTTATACGCGGGTACAGACGGATGAACCTAGTCCTAGGAGGGTACAGCTGGGTGAAGCTGGCTCTTCGCAGAGAGCGCTGGAAGAGGCAGGCGCTAATAGGTTGAGCTGCTCTGGGCGGATGCACCTGGTCCTAGGCGGATGCATCTGGACAGTCAGCTCACAGCGGTTTGAGACGGATGAAGCCTTCCCAAACGGGTGCACCTCCATGGTGATGCATCCAGGATGAGGGTCTCTGAGCGTGGCTGGGGGCACGAAGGCGGAGGAGGGCTCGCAGCGCATCTGCGGCAGGAGGTGGAAGGGCAGAATGTGGACGGCGCAGGCGTGGGCACAGGCGGAGGGCATGGGTGCGAGCGGAGGGGCGGGTGCAAGCAGGGAGGCGAGAGCAAGCGGGCGCGAGTGAGGCGCAAAGGGTTGGCGAGGAGCGCCCTGGGCAGCGGGGCAGAAGAGCCACTTCATCAAGCGCCGTCTAAAATGGCTTACGGATGAAAGTTCTGAATCGGAAGAGAAAATAATACATAAATACTTGATCTAAAAGCTGCGCGTCAGCATTCTCAGGCCTCTGCATGATTTATTTCCTCAAGGAAAGCAAACTACCAGAAGCCTTGATGACATTCTGTTCCCGACGGCAGGACCCCGCCCTGGCGCCGTCCGCAGGTTGCCTGAACTGGACTCGGCCGCCCGAAGCCGCGAGAACGAAGCAGGAGGCAAGCGGGAGTGTGGCTCTCTCTTCCAAGGGATTCTCAGATTGGCGATTTCGGCTCTACGAAGCGAAGCGGTTCCCTTCCACCTGCGACTTAAATCTCAACTCGTAAATGTAATACTGAATGGTCTGAGTTGCCCAAAAGAAGACACTGCGCACGCAGAAATCAGGCTGACTTTAGTGAGAAAAAAGTTCAAGGCTTACAATAAGAGATGACTGCGTGAACTGGCTAATTCATTAATAAACTCACTACAAAAGTTTCTTCACAACTCGATCGAACGTTGGCAGGCCGATGCAAAGGTCAGCCTGCCATCTGCCATCCCGAATGCACTCCGACGTCGACTCTCAAGCGAGAGACAAACGAGAAGAACCGGCGGTATGAAAGACATCTTTAGTCCACGAAAAAATATATATCTCACAGCAATACATTACTCGCCAGTGCTCCCAGTTGCTCTACATTCTACAAAATCTACGTTTGAGGTAAGATGCGCGTGAGGTCAGTGCTACATTCACAATCAACCAATCACAGCGTCGGTTTCAACGGATACGTCATCCTTATATACACTTACAGCCAATCAGAAAGGCCGTTTCATGACGTGACGAAATGCGGTCGTCTGATTGGCTGAAGCACTTTTTAAAGATTTCTAAGACCTCCTAATTGGTGAAGCCTAGTTACATCAGTCCACTGGAGTCGCTATATACCAATCTTTACGTAAAGAAAAAATGAATATTCATCTAGCTGTCAATCTTTTCATCAGTCGATCAGATTGACAACGAACAGAAACACATGATACAAAATGATATACAACTTCCTAACCGATAAACATTCAAAAGCATTCTGGGATGCTGCCTCTGCGTATGACGTCACAGCTGGGACTGACATCATACCGGGAAGACACCGCACCTTTTGATATCACTATTCTACGATTAATATCACACCTGTTGATTACACCTGGGACTGGCATCATGCCTTTTCGTGACATCATGCTGTGATTAATATCACCCTTGTTCATGACATCATACCTCCTAATGGCATCGCATCTGGGACTCGATCACACCTACACATGATCTACCTGGGACAGACATCACACTTGTTAATGACATAGTATCTGAGACTGATGCCGCACGTGTATACCATCCTCTCTGGATTGGTATCTCACCTGCTTATGACGTCAGTTCTAGGACTGGTATCACACCTGTCCATTACATCATATCTTGAAATGACGTAACATATGTTGATAACGTCACCAAATTTTAATGACTGGGGCCTCGAGGCTTCTTACCGCTATCATCACATTAGACTGAACGGCCTGCTGCGTGGACAAGCACGCATGGCCATCGCACTGTATATTGCTTTCATATAATGAAAAAGAATAATATTGTTCAGGAACTCGACGTGTTGGAACTGCAAGCCTTCCCTTAAAGTCGGAAGGCAGGTCAGTCCGCGAAGTCGTCCCAAGCTTGGTTTCCTGTTTATGATTTTTACAGATTTTTCATATTCTTATAAAGAAATGTTAACATATTTTTTTGCTACAGCTCAATTATACAGAATAAGACCTTGGTAATTACTCATTGTATTATGTTACTAAATTTTACCTTGCTGCATTCATCTTGTGAAATCATAAATATTCTTGTTAACAAGAAAGTGTTAAATCTTACAAATCTTTATATCTTACGTACTACATCTAATTACAAGTCAGTCTAGTTTTAGTCTAAAACAATAATACTATACAGTAATACATTGTAGCTAATTTCTCCCTAACACACAGCTGTCTTTACACATCACCAGAGCAAAGAAATAGTTCGACTGCGCATTTGAGAAAGTCTCCCCTTAAAGTTGCCTTCGGTTTTCTGTCTCTTTTACATTTGCGGAAAAGAGAGAAACAGCTGCACAGAAATACAGATCGGAAAATAGACTGACAGACGTTCAGATACGCTGGCAGATACATATTAAGGCACATGGTATGCATCTGCAGAAGGAGACGTGACATGCTATCACGGGAGTCCAGCTTCGTCTGGGACGCCCGCCTTCCCTGCGGCTGGCCTGCGAGAAGAAGAATGCGTGGCGAGGACGGACACGAAGGAAACCATTGATAAATATGTCCATCAGAGACGCCGACATCGAAGCGCGGCTCGGAGACGTGGAAGCAGCGTGGAAGTCCTGGGCGTCTCGACGCGAGAGGCTGCGAGGAGCGCCGGTCCGGGGCCAGAAGGGCTGCTTCAGGGTCGCGCGGCGCCCGGCGGCTCTCGTCGCGTCCTGCGGGGATTCCTCTTCTCGCGCGGCGGCCGCTCCTACCTCTTGTGCACGCAGCCGATCTTGCCGCGCGTGCAGTAGTTGCCAGCCTCGACGTCCTGCAGTGTCTTGGGCCCTTCGCCCAGCCTCCGGGCGTGCTCGCCCTCGTCCTCGTCGTCGTCGTCCTCGTCGTCATCCTCCAACTGGCTCTCGTTGTCGCCCTCCGTGTCCTCCTCCTCGTCCTCCTCTGCGTCCGTGCTCACGTCGAACACCTCGTTGAGCACCTCGTCGATCTCCTCCTCCTCGCGCTGGCTCAGCGTGCGCATGCGCGACTTCATCTTGATGCCGTTGCAGAAGGCGCTCTTGGCGTGGTGGTTGTGTTTGTAGTGGAAGATGTCCCTGAGCAGCGGCACGTTCTCGCGGGGGTCAAAGGTCACGATGGAGGGCGTGGAGTCGGTGGGGTCCTCCTGCAGTGTGGTGCTGCTGCAGGCCGTGGCGTCGTCGTCCGCGCACGTGTTGTGCACCTGCTCCTCCACGGACGCCACGAGCGACACCAGATGCAGCACCTCCCGCAGCGGCAGCACCACCTCGTCGGGGAAGTTCTCGACCGCCTGGCCTCCCTCGGCGTCGCCGCCCTGGCCCTCGACCTCCGCCGCGCCCGTCATGATGCCGTGCAGGCTCTGCGAGTACTCCTCGGCCGGCGTGCCCGTCTGCGCCACCAGGTTCCTGATGGCGGGCATGGAGTCGGAGCGCAGCACCACGTTCACGTCCAGCAGGTCGGACAGCGTCAGCGGCTCGTTGGCCTCGCTGTCGGAGTCGTCGTTGCCTGCGGGAAGAAGGTCAGAGGCTCACGTGGCTGAACCATCTCAAAAGAGCAGTGCGGCGGCCGCATGCGGAGGCCGCCGCCAGCGGCTCGCTTGTCGCTCACGTGCGACTGCATTAGGTGCGTGACCGGCTGTGCATGAGGCAACAGCTGTGAAGATGCATCATCCAGATATGGGCAGAATACAAGACATTAAATTATACTTGAGATAAAGAGCCCATGAAAATTCCCAGCGAGTGCGGCCGCCCGGCCTGCACCCCTCCCCCCCCTGCTCACCCTGCGTGCAGTCGATCCTGAGGCTCTGCTTCCTGGACGTCCTGCCGGGCTCGTCGCCCACGAAGGCGCCGGCCACCTCCACCATGAGCGCCACCACGCCGCGGTCGCCGTCCACCAGCGACGCCTTGCGCTGGCCGAGCTTCACCTGCAGAGGAAGCGCCGGTTAAACGAGCCACAGGAGGCCGCGCCCGCTTCGACGAGCGTCAACCCGCGTCATTTCAGGCCACCCACAGTCAGCTGTGGCGGCTCCCTCTTGGGATGCCAGTGACCTTGTCTGGCTGGGCTAAGTTAGCATCAAAGTAACTTCTTCCAGTTAGTTTACAAATGAGTCAACCACAAAAGTTGAATGACTGACATAAATTATGAAACTTTCACAATAAATACTTAAAATTTGTTCATTGACGTGTTTTTTCCTTTGACACTACCTCAAATAGTAAAAGGAAAATATATCGTTCGAAAACTGAGTGACATGACATGAAGGGAAACGGATAGGAGACCCAGAGGCCGAACCCGCTTCGACTCACCCTCACTCACCCTAACCTGCCCCTCACTCGTCCTGTCACCCGTCCTCACCCCCCCTCCTCCCTCACCCCCCCCCCCGTCCCCGTCCGCACTCACCCTGCCCACGAGCTGCCGGAAGAACTCTGCCTGCTTCGCGATCCTCTTCGACCTGAAGGTCTTCTTGATCCTGCGGGGCACGTTGCTCTTCAGCGCCTTCTGCAGGAAGTTGAGCAGCAGGAACCAGTAGCCGAGGGCCATCATGATCCACACGACGATGGCTAGCTTGTAGACCTCGCTGTAGGGCTGGTCTTTGCGGTATCCTGCGGGAGGAGGCGAAGGGTCAGCGCGGCGGAAGGGAAGACGGCGAGGAATGGCAAGGAAAGACAAGGAGAAGAACTCACGGAAGAGACAAGACAAGAGGGAAGAGGCGAGGGAAAGAGGGAGAAGGAAATCGGATGGCGGAAGGGAAGATGCAAATCGATGAAAGAAAACGGCAAAAGTGTGGGGAAAGAAAGGGGAGACTGTTACAAAAGAAGAAAAAAAGATAATTTCGGTTATAATAACACCTATTTGCCCCCCAAAAAAAGTATATACATAATACTATATAATGACTGTAATAATGAGGGTGACGATGACGAAAAACTGCAGCAACTAAACGCAGTGGCACTCGGCGTGCCAGGGCCGCAGCCCGGGGGCCATGGGCGCCGCCTCACCTGCCACGAGGTCTCCGAAGCCGATGGTGCTGAGCGTGATGAAGGTGTAGTAGAGGGCGTCCTCGTAGCTCCAGTCCTCCAGCTTGGACAGCGCCAGCGACGGCAGGAACATGAACACGATGAAGCCGACGCTGAGGTAGATCCAGGTGATGCCGTAGAGGAGCGTCTTGCGGTGGCGCTGGTGCCGCTTCTGCTGGGGGGAGGGGGGCCGGGCGGGGGCGCGGGAGGGGGGACAGGAAGGTTAGTTTTGCCTCGTATTTCTTCGGAGGAGGAGGTTACGGAGGCGGGTAATGAGGGCCGTTCGTTAGACATTGCAAAAGATTATCTCCATGACTGATGACTGAGAGTAACTGACTGAGAGTAACTGACTGAGAGTAACTGACTGAGAGTAACTGACTGAGAGTAATTAACACTGACTGATTCAGACTCGCCGACCCAGCGGCAACGGCTGACTGAGCCAGAGCCACTGAGCCTGAGAGTCAACGGCGCCGAGCGACTCGGCGGACTCACCCTGGCCGAGGTGTACAGCTGCAGCATGCGGTTGGACAGCATCTCGGACGAGTACGCCATCAGGATGCAGGTCAGCGGCACGCCCACCAGCGAGTACAGCACGCAGAACAGCCGCCCGTAGCGCGTCGCGGGCGAGATGTGGCCGTAGCCTGGGCGTGGGAGAGGAAGGGGAGGGGTGAGTGCTGGAACTGCCGGAGGGATGCGTCTCCCGGCCGGGCGACGGCGCCTGCGGCTCCGGGCGGAGCAGAATCGCGCTGGGACCAAGGGCTCCGAACGGCTGGCGGTTGCGGCGCGGAATGAACTCCTCGCCCCTTCAGGACAGCAACACCAAAGCACAAATGACAAGACCTAAACTCCTACAGAAACGCTTAACATTTATTGTGAAAATTGGCGAATAAAAATAATAGCGTAAATAGGAAAAAATGACTTTGCCGCCACCGAGAAGAAATCTAAATTGTGAAAAGGCCTTTTTAATAGCTTCCCCGAAACCCCTAAGCAATTTGATACACTTTGATACATGTTTGCCCTTTATGCGCACGCAACTGGAACCTATTCAAGCGTCTTTTCATTTTGGGTCAAAGCGTTCGCCTTTGAGTCCCTCCGGCCAGCCAGTCCGAGCGCGGGATGCTCCAGATGAGCGCCACGTGGGCTCAGAGAGGAATTTATACTTTCATGCGTTGCGAATGGCATCGTGAGTTCGTTCATACACAGTTTTATTCTAAAGGTACATAGCGTGTGTTTCTTGATTTGATGATATAAGTTAATCAGTAATACAAGTGAATACCTCCGATCATTGGTGGTATCTAGTTATCTGATTCGGACACAAAGTTCACTCTCGGTGGATACAATAAGATGCAAAGTCTCATGAAACTTCCATTTTGCATACAAATAAATGTAATACGAAAAAATGTTTTGACTAAACCTGAGAAATGCATTTGAAATTTTGCACAGCCTTGCGAAGAGAAAATGAGCAGAGTAATCAAGTACTTTTTCCGTTATTTAAAGCTTCTGCAATATTTCGCTTCTAGTAAATATGCGTGCATATCAAATACTTCAATGGTTTCCTAATGACCTTTCTTTTGTGAAGTTGAGAAAAGTAACTTCGTTTTCCAAAATTTAGGTCAGCGCAAACTTGGAAGCCGGTCGTCGTCGCAGCGACCGGGACGCGACGCCCAGCGCCAAGGCGAGGGTTTCGGGGAGCCGCGCGGAAGGCCCGAGGGATTCCCGGAGCCGCAGCAGCCAAAGTCCGGCTGAGGGACTTCGATTCCTGAAAAAGCTTCATGAGACAACTTGGAGCTTATAAGAAACGAAGAGAATAAGACGAAACACAATAAACAGGGAAACCAAGTTCAATAAACAGATGGCCAAAAACACCGCGCCTTCGTACCGATGGTGGTCACAGCCGTCATGGTGAAGTAGATGGAGTCGACCAGCGTCCACTTCTCCACCTTGGTCACGTGATCGATGATCCTGAGGCTCTCCTGGCACTCCTCCTCCACGGCGCTCGACCAATCAGCGCCCAGCCCGAGCTTGTCCTGGGGGGAGGGGGCGGAGTCACATTTGGGTGGATTTTGGGCTTAGGGAGGCGGGTCGCGGGGGACGGCGCGTCAGGGTGCAAATCGGTCATTAATATGCAAATCAAGAGGAACTGAATAAAAGCAGGATTTAAAGAAATAACTTCAGGTCGTAAATGAAAAATAAAATTGAAATCATTCGCAAAGGTACAATCATTATATTGTCAAAATTGGTATTGAATTCAAATTCATGTGTCTGACGGGAGGAGATTAGTGAGCTTATACGTACCGTTGGTACTGTACTGTATGCACACCCACACCCACCCGCCCACACACACAACTGTCACCTCCATCTCCACCAAGATAAGCAATAAATCATAAAAAACAATGGAAAGAGCAATTACGGAAATAAACAAACGGTAAATGAATCATACATCACAGCCGAAGCAGACACAGAAAAAGCAGACAAACAAACATAAGAAAACAGGTTAATTAACCAAAGAAAAAAATGTCTGTACCTGGTGGGCGGCGGACCCTTGCGCCTGGCCGCGGCTCTCGCTCTCACCGTTCGATTCCAGCAAACCAAAGGCTATTCAGACCAAATAAAAAGAAAAAAGAATGCACTACTGTAACATACAAGCATAGCAATGTTACCAAAAAAAGTCTACTTGGAGAAATAAAAATTAAATAAAAAACAAAGGAATTAAATGAAAAACAGCAAATGAGGCAAGGCACGTTCGAGTCAAGAAAAAAGCAACTTCACGTCTACTCATTTGGATTAAGATTAGACTAATTCTAAATTAATAAGAACAAATCAAGTGAACAACAAAGAGGCCTAACAAATTCTACCAACATCATAATACGTCACTTAAGAAAGAAATGATCTAATGCAAAAATAATGGTGCACTGCGAGCGTAAAACATAAAATCACACTGTTCATGCGCTAAATTAGACAGACTTTTTCTAGCCAGTTATGAGGAAGACGGATTGGATTCCATGAATCAATTGAGGTTTATTACCCAAGGCATAATCTGCTCAAGGCTACAGGATGCGTGAATAGTTCTTTTAACAAGGGGATACGGACGATTTTCGTTCGGCGGGAGGGAAGGCTATTTTCAAAACATTTATCTATTTGCTGTTTTGCTGTTGGCGTTATAACAAGATGCACAGCAATGGCAGAGCTAAATCGCAGCAAATGGGGAACACAATGAGAAACTATTTAACACTGAACAATTTGGGTCAGGAAAATTATGAGGGAATGTAACGTTAATTCAAGCACAGCTTTCGAAAAGTTCAGAAATTCCTGAGATCCAAACACTTGTCTTCCTTCCTAAAGTGTAAAATAAGATATGAAGAATACGCATGAGAAAATAAATATCTACATTCTAGACAGCGAGAGACAGACAGAGAGGAACAACGGGCGTAAATCTTATTGAAAACCTACTTCCGTTGATGACAGGATGCGGACACAGCTGTAGGATGTGCTGCCGGAGCTCCAGCAGTTCCTCCAACGCGTCTCCTGCGGATGCCAGCTCTGGGGGAGGACGAGAGAAGGATTAGAAAGGGCTGGAACAAAAGGCAAAGAGATTTCTCAGAAGAAGAAGAAAGAGAGCAAGAATGTGAAGAGAAATCTCACTTGTCGAATGGAGATGACTGAAATGTAGTTAAAGTTTTATTTTTCTCTAGGAACAATTAAAACATGTCTACACATAATGGTATAATCCACCTTCGTTCGGGCCGGGTGGTCGACTCGACGCCGTTTCTCAACTGCGTTACGCAACGCCTCGGCATGCCCTTGCCCTTCGAGAGAAACCAGCTCGCAACCACGAACAAGAAAAACAAGATTCGCAAGATGAAAAAAGCCTCGGCACTGCCAATAGATCAAGGCCTACGAAATATAAGTGTCGACTCCTCCCGTGGGCGTTGAAAAAAGCTGCCCCTCCTTTTCAGAGATATGTACGGGTGTGGAGAAGGGGTCTGGCATCTCTTCATGAATATTAATGAGTGAACCATGTCTTTTTTGTATATTTCGTTTCTTGGTTATTGGACTCGCCTTCCACGGGCGTTTATTTGTTTACAAAACATCCTGTGCTGTTCCATTGGGTTATTATTTTCTTTTCCTCATTCCTTTGGCCGCTTCTACTGCCAAGGTTTAGGCTCTCACGTCATTACATACCCTCTGCTTGGGAGTACAAGCACACGGACGCATAACACGGCCCTGATTGCGAGCCAGCGGTTCTTTGCTGACGTCAGGAAAAATGAAATATTCAGCTGATATCCACAACTAACCCCATAATTTATAACGAAGGTGGTGGAGACAGATTAGGGTCACATAAACATTCCTTTGTTGATTGGGACCGCACAAACAACCCCTGGCTACGCAACGGCCAAATTGAAGCGTACCTTGTCAGAAATAACACGGTACAGCGAACACTCCTCCATAATCGGTAGCTGGTGAATTGCCCGTCGGCAGCTGGCAGCGGATCCTTACATGAGCCGGGCTCTATCCACGCCCGAGCCGGTGCTGATAAATATCCTGCACTGCCTCTCCTATCGACCCTGGCCGTAGGCACTGCTG